TACACCACTGGATGTATTAAGGCAGATGCAACATTATTTTAGTGCGCCAAGGTACCATAACTCACAAGGACATGATATTTAATTTGACTGCGGTGGTGTTATTGTTTTTGTACTACAAACTGCTAGCCTCGGCTGGCACCCCACTACCCAGGCTATTAAATGAAGGCCGGGACACGTGCCTGAGCTGTGGCGTACGACACATGCGCAGTGCAGTAACTGGAGCTGCGATGTCGGAGGGTTACAACAGATGGCGCTGGACATGAAGGTGTCTGCTGAGGTGCTGTCTAGGTACTCTAATTTAATTATTTCTCACCCACAAAGCAAGGCTACTATGACAATCTCCCTGCAGACGCCTCACTGACATGAATCAGTCCTTTGCACAGGTGCAGACCAGATTTCACTGCGCATGTGTTGTACCCATATACACTGTAGCTTCTTTACATTCTAATACAATGTAGCTTCTTTACATTATATTAGAATGTAAAAAAGCTACAGTGTTGCCTTTTCTTTTCTTTCCACAAGAACGGAATTTTGTCAGGTTGATAAAAAAATGTCACTTTACTTCCTGACATTATTGTTACTTTTTTGTAGGTTCTACCCTATGAGCAATATGTCAGGTGTTTTAACAGGCACACTACATGTAATATCTAGGCACAGCTACAGCACTGGGGGAGAATCTCAACTCCTGACATGCACTTCTTCATAAGCTGACCAGAAAATGTGGATAGACAGGGACTAAGAATTGGTTTCAAGCATTCATCTTGTGAAAAAATAAAAATTAACCGAAATTCTATTAATTTACCATTAACTTACATTTATATCATACAGTAGAACAGTATATCTGGAGGGAAAAAAAGACTCCTCCTGACCACTTGAAGCTCTTCAGGCACATCAAGTGGCAGCAGGATTTTCTGTACAGTGAGTGTGCGGAGATGGTTTTTGGTATGTTTCTCTCGTGTGTGAATTATTTGATGCGTCCAGAGACATCCGTGATGAAGCTCTTCCAGCAGAGCCCACTGTGTTACAGTGTTTGTAACCCACATGGAGCGGTTGCCACCCTTATCGCATCTGTACGGTTTCTCTGCCACATATCGGTGGGATTTCAACTCTGCCTGCAAAGTGAAGCTTTGTCTGCGGTCGTCCCCTGGTGTGACTCCAGTGATATGACTTCTGTTGGTCTGGTCGCTTGCGAGACCGTTGTCTCTGTAGCAGCACTTCTGACACTGGCTGCATGTACACGTGAGGCCTGTCTTAATTTTCTCCAAGGTGATTAGCGAAGAAATTATTCTCCTTCTTCTTAATAGTGAGTTTGCTGCTGTTCTACAAGGTGACAAGACTGGAAAGCCTTTCTCACACTGCTTGCATTGGTATGGTTTCTCTCCTTTCTGAGAGAACCGGTGTGGATTCAGTTCAGACAGCTGGCTGAAGCTCTTCTTGCAGAAGCTGCAGTTGTAGGGTTTCTCCCCCTTGTGGATGCTGTTGTGTTCTCTGCTGCAGCACGAGGCTAAGACTGTTCCCCCAACGGTCACATTGGTACGGCTTCTTTACTGTTTCAGCATGCAAGCAATGTTATTTCATTACTGAGATGGTAGTAGGACGGCTACTTAAGAGGAAAACAGAGACAAACAGGAGGAGAAACCGTTCACAATAGAGGAACCCTTTTTCTACAACCAAATCAATAAAATAGGAAAGCAGTAACAGCATCAAACAAAGGCAACAGGGAAAAAAAGCTAATATGCATGTATCTGCGAAATGGAATTATGGAAGAATGCTTAAATAACTGATTACTAAAGACATTGAAAACACTTTTACATACAGTAGCTATTGGTCCCAGTTATATGATAAAGCTGCGATGATGACGAGCCAGGTTCTTTGGAAATTCTATTAAACAATATTTTACTTGCTGAAATGTTTTTACTGTAGTATACTTACTTAATCAAAATGTCACATTGAGGGAAACAAATATTTGACACAATTAGACAAACTTTTATTCATACCATGTCAACACAAAAGGAGAACTTATGCTGCAGAATAGCAAGAGACAAGCATGTATTTGGACGTGGTTTATTTGACATTAAAGGGGAGAAAGAGGAGAGGGATTACATTATTGTGCATATTCACACGTGTATCTGTTTCACATGCAGCAAAAAGGCTAAGAAGAAGATGAAAGAACTGTCAATATCGATAAAGTGCTTTTTTCCGTCCATTGCGCCGACAAAAGCAAAAAGTAACTACATTCTGGGAACTATAACTATAACTATAAACTCTCTCTTCTCGTTTCCTTCCGAAACTTTCTCTCCCCTCATCCAGCGGTTTCAATGGGAGCCTGCATACCAGTTCATGACGTCACCACCAGTCCACTTTCGTCCTCGTGTCCTCACAGGTGCCTGCTGAGTTTGCGCGCCTGCCTCTCCCTGGCTTCGAAGGCGGATTTGGTGTCCATCAGGTCGTCCAGCTGCCGGCGGATGTGGGCCATGTCGAGCTGTGCGGACTCGCACTGCTCCCTCAGGGTGGCCGACTCCACCCTCAGCTGCGTGGCGGCCATGGAGAGCTGCTCGCTGCGTTCGCGGCACTGCATCTGCATCCTCTTGGCGTCGCTCAGGAGGGACTCCACGCTCACCGCCACGGATTCACACTGATTGAGAGACATCTTCTGGACAGAGGTAGAGGGATGGAGGTCAGAGGTCAAAACAGGAACTGGACATCAAACGAGGATTAGTTCATGGACTTTTAAGCAGTCAGATGCTTGAAAACAGACTTAAATACATGTTTGTCCAGCAGAAAGTCTCTCTGGGATTTACTTTTGAGATTTAAGGACTCTGTTCTCTGACTTGGCTGTAAAATACAGCTATCCTGCCAGAAAATCAGATGAAGTGACTCAATAGTTCGCAGTCAGAAGTCCAGCACAGATCACCAGGTTTTAAACAGAACATTTGATCTGTAGAGAGTGAACTAGCTTAAAGAGGCTTATCAAGGCTTAGCTCAGTCTACAGTGGCCACTGCTCTTGTCCCTTTATCCTACCATCAGTCTCTGTCAGTTTTTCACAGTTTTTCTTCTTCTTTTGTATCCACACAGATTCTTTTTCCGATCAGTAGCCCAATATAACAGGATGGGAAAAGGTCTTACCAGACACTCCAAAGTCAAATTAATCACAAGCTTTGTGGTTTTCTTCTGAGACTCGAGTGTGAGAAAGTCCTCAACGTTCTCCAGACTTCTCTGTCCTCCCAGCTGTCCTTTTCAGACTCAGACAGTAACTCAAGGGGCTTTAGGTGACGATGGTGGAAGTGTCGGTTGGAAATTGATTTCCAGAACCGGCGAAGTTCCTCCCACAGAGTGCTGCTGTGTCTTCCCGATCCTCTCTCTCTCTGTTAATCCACAGAGATTAGACAGTTAAAGTGAGCTGAGTCATGTTGTATTGGCAGGAGTAAACTGTTTATTTTGACCTGTCGGGTCACACTAGTTTATGTCTTGTTTCTGTGTGAGGGACCAGGGTACGCATAAAGCTGGGAGAGCAGGTAAAGTGGGAAAAATAGGGATTTTATTCACCCAAAGTATGTACAATAATTAGGATGGGTAAAAAAATCAAGGCAAAGTGACAAATCAGAATAGTATAAACTTAACATAATTGCACTAAAGTCTTAAGTACAACATAATTAAACAGAGTTTAGTTTAAGACAACATAGTGAGTGCTCTTCTGAACAAGGTGTGATGCAGCTGCTCAGTCTGTTGCCAGAAGGATGGTCGGCTGCAAAACACTGACAGGAAAGTTAACACTTTTATCAACCGCAACTTAATATTACTTGATAGCATGACCTCAATCTATATAAAGTCAGTCAAAACAGGTCTTTTTATGTCTCACATCATAATTTAAAGAATAGTGAAACAGTTCATTATGCCTGGTTGATGGTTTGACTAGTTTGCAGCCGTCACATTCTGTTTCAAAATAAGAAATTCAATTGTTTTTTGTTGTTTATTTAGAAATATCTTGAGTCTGGTGACCAAACAATTGCTCTATATTTCAAGGTATACAGTATGCCATTATTCAATACCACTACAAAAAAGGACTTCTTAATGTATATTTATAATCTTTATTTTGAACAATAATACCAATATAATTATATGGGCTGACTTTACATTTGGGCTTGCTGATATAGCCCGATCTCGCTCTGTGTGGTGAAACTGATCATTAATAAATATCACAGGCAGGTTTAGCTGTCTGGGACAAAACCAGAAACAGGCTTCTAGAGGAAGGAAAAGAGCTAAAGTAAAGTGAACTACATTTTGTTTTGTCATAAATCCCTGCTGTTTATTACTTGAATGGGATGGCAGAATAAATACAGTATTTTTGTCCCTTCAGTGTTCATAGCCACAATAATAAGATTATGTCTCATTACACAACGTACAACTTTACCCAGATACTCAGAAATAATTGCTTTTGTTATCATAAGACTTTTCTCCATTCACACATGAAACAAGACATTACAAAGGTACAGGTGAGTACTTGATACAGACCAGCAGAGGGAGACACAGTTCAACACTAACACATTAACAGAAAGCACATTTGAGTCATTGTGTTTTAACTCTTTGGTTTAAAAAGTAGCGCACCATGTGCCAAGTAGCATCACTTCAGACTACGTGGTTAATATCTTGACAACAATATCAGGTGCTCATCAAATGCTTCATTCTGTGAGTGAACCTGGACTGGATATCAGATGTAACAGTTAGCATATAATGTCATACCTAAAAGTAAGACCCCCCCCCCCCTGAATTATTGGTCACATGATGTAATGAAATGTTATTCCCGCCGTTTCGAGACATAGCAAGTGCTTCTTTACGCAATTTTTCTCAATAGTTAGACTGAACTATCTGAGATCACATGACCAACACTTTGAGACAAAATGAAGAGAAATAACAATTGGCCTCAATGTCAAATGACACAATTCATTATAAATAAAGAATAAAGATACAGAAGTAAAACTACTGGGCACATCGTAGAAACACAAAGCACACACTTCTTAAAGGGTAAAAAAAAAAAACTTTTGAGGACCATGTTAATTCTTTGTCTGTTTACAAAGGACACGTGTGCCAGTCACATCAAAAATACAAAATCTGAGCACATTCATTAAATAAAAAAAAAAAAGAAATGGCTGCAAAAAACACTTCTATTTCTAGTGATGTAAACAGAAACACCATCTTAATGAAGAAACGCACGTCTGTGTGATCCAGTAATCAGACATTTGACGTGACCTTCGTGAGTAGATGTGGGAAACGGATACATGTACATATCAGCAGGTGAAGCCTCTCCATCATGTGGTCAAACAGAGGCTTGAGAGCATTGGTGGTTATGAAAACTCTTTACCTGACGAGGTGCCCGAGTGGTTAAGGCGATGGATTACTACTCCATTGTGCTGTGCTCGCGTGGGTTCGAATCCCATCCTCGTCGGGGCGCGATGCTTCTATTGAATCTAAGAGCCGCAACACCCTAAAGCAAACTAAGATTATCACAAACTACTGGAACTACTTTCATACAATATCTCACAGAGTGTGTTCACTAGACAAACCTGCAACGGCAGCGTAGTGCTCACTAAATGTATTTACCCTTTTCCCACATCTACTCCCACATTGTCATGTTGTGCTCGCATGCGTGTTTCTGTAAGTCCTCCATCTCCCCCGTCCTTCACTGTGGCCTTGTGGGCTGGTTGAAAAATGGCTCCGTTTCTTCGGCTGTCACCCCCGCGTCGCCGAAAAGCGCTCCGGCCGGCCCGCCTACGATCACCTTTGACCCTGAACCCTGGCGCCTCTGGATGATAACCAGCCCTGCGATGATGAGCCAGAGGAAGAGGTTGACCCACACTGCCGTCTGAGGAGAGGGGGAGTCAACACATGACACACGGGAGGGACATGAAGCTCTTTTATCTTGAGTCAGAGCAGTTAGTAATGGACACACCCTCTACACATAGACATTGACTAAGTGATACTTTTCAGCAGCTGCTACTATATCAGCAAGATCATTTTTTGCTAGATATGAATAAAAGGGAACGTTTGAGCTGAACATGAAAATATTGTAAAATGTATTTTCCCTAGTTCGTAATCACTGTAGATTGGGTATGTTGACTGGTACTTTGTCAACATAATGCAAAGAGTTAGGAGAAGTGCGTAATGTATCCATTCAAGACATTAAATCAAACACGGAATGAGGCCCACTGACCCCGGCTTTGTAGAGACTGTTGTAGAATTGTCCCCCTCTAATTGGACTGACCCATTTTCTGGTCTGGGCCTCCTCACAGCTTGAGAGACAATAGATTACATGTTAGAAAGTGACAGATATTTAAGTTTGAACGCATCTTTTGTGTCCAGATAAATATGTGTTAACAGTAGCTAAATATACTAAGCATCCGCTTAGATTCCAAAGTTATACAGTTAGCCATCGGTATATGCTTTTATACGCCAAGGGAAAAGAGAGTGTGTGTGTAGGTGTGTGTGTGTGTGTGTGTGTGTGTGTGTGTGTGTGTGTGCCACCTGGTGATGTTGGGAACCTTCTGTATGACCGAGTTGCAGAGCGAGTCCCGTCCGATCTTCACCACGCACCCCGTGATGAGCAGGAAGAAGAGGAAGACGCCGCTCACAACTATCATCATGTTCATCCACATGTGATCCCTGTGGAGATCAGAAGGGACAGAAAGGAAAATTAAACCTCTGACCAAATGAGGAAATGATGTCAAACTCACATATGACTGCGTTACGTTACTCTTTTTGATCGTTTTTTGAAATCTACTTAAATGTTTTTTTCCGCCTCCTCACCAGCTCTGCAGCGTGTACTGTTAGACCTTCAGAGACGCTATTCTGTCCGGATTTTAAGTCTGGGTTGAGTTTCCCTTCATGCTGCTTCACTGTCTCACGCCAGCAAGAATACAACTCTGGCCAATATCAGATTTAATAAGCAATATTACTGTAAGTCAAGCTTTTATTGTTGATAGTTTGGCATGTTGTGGTGTTGCTAAAATTGAATTTTTTTTTGCAGCAATCTGCAAAGTGTTTTTGTGCGGCTGCACGTCTTTTGTACACGCATTTGTAATAAAAAATGTTCACACATGAATGCCTGTAGTGGATTAAATGGGTGGAGAAATACCGAATGGGATATTGGTATCAGCTTTAGCATCATATTGCGTTGCTATTTTGAGTGGCAACATTGACTAGTGCCAACTTAAAATGTTTGCATCACCATCATATTCCTGTGTGTGATCAATAAAGTTCATCATACCTCTAAAAGTCAGCCTTCAAACGTTGATATAACCCGAGTTGAACAACAGTTCAAGTTGTCTGAAAAGCCGTGTAACATAAGCTTCCACAGGGCTAAGCAGTAGAGTTGGAGAAGAAGATGATCACAGAGTTATAAAGTAAGTTTCATGACGTGCCGCTACCTTCTCATTTCCCCGTCGATGCAGAACGTGTACAGCCAGTACAGAGTCACCGAGAAACACACCACTGCTACCATGATCGATATGGCCGACACGAAGTAGCACAGAGACGGGGAGCTGGGCGACTCGATCCCAATAAGGCCCGCTGTAACATTGTAGTTGACAAGTCCATACAGCATGCACCGGCCTCCAAAGTTACCCTGAGAGACAAGAGATTTTATTTTGAAATTTCAATTTGCCTCAATTTACATGCAGGCTAATAGTCTCATTTTCATTACATTGTTTCAATAACTTCATCACTGGTAGAATTGCAACAACAAAACAGAACACACACACACGAGCCGCAGCATCTGACTTCTATAAAGAAGTAGAGAGAATAACTGGGCACGAGGATCATCTGGTCACATGACGAGAGGAGCGCACATCCACGGTTACGCGCACATTTTCACATGCCCGCATTTCCTGGTTGAATCGAAAAGAGAAAGTGGACTTTAAGCCTTAAAAATGAACGTTATCTTTTTTTTTTTAAGTATTTAGCCAGCAGCATAAAAGGAGCGCAGCTAATTAAATGAATGGAATGTGTGACTTTATATATAGTATACTGTAGCCTCATTCTCTTTGAGTTATAGTGTGTACTAAACGTACTAAACGTTGCGATGTTTTTAGACCGACAGCCCGAGACATGCAACAACACTCACCATAGACAGGCAATCGGGAGAAAAGTGCCTGTTTTTAGTTTTTGTACCTGCTCGCGCTCTGGTTTTGACAATTAACGATACTAAAAAGTAGGACATAATTATGCTATTTAACATAAAATAATCTTAAAAAAATATTTTGATTTCAAATTGGCCTGCTCGGCTTTTTTTATGAACAGATAACGCAAATAAATCAAAAAATGTCATTAAGTATCGAATTAAACAGACACATACGTGCCACAAAAGAGATTTTTCTTTTTGGTGAACTTGAAAATTTCTAGCACCAACACGCACTGAAAAGTGAGTTTATCCGGAAGAGGGTTGGGATAAAAGAAGCACATGGATGAGGTTAGTTGATTCATTTCTGGGTGAAGTCACCTGCAATATGGTGATGGATGCCGCGGTCATAATCCCACAGACGAAACAGCTGGTGTACAGACCCAGCTCCAGCAGCAGCAGCACCGGTAACACCATCGTCCTGCGGGTCAGGTTCCTGACTGAGAAGAGACCCGCATAAAGTCAGCCACGGTAAGAGAAAATAAACTTCCGGAGAGCTGGGTTTCAAAATAATATCCGAGGGTAAGGCTGGAAGTAAAGGGGAAGATAATCAGCATTTATTGAAGAATGAGTTGTAGAAACAGCCAGGGCGGACCACCGTCAAGTACGACTGGATAAAACAACTGAAATCTCCATTATTTTTTTAATATTAAGATAAAAAGTAAACAGAATGATGTGATTTACAAAATAGGAAAATCAAAAACTCCAGAAAAATCCTACCGATTTAAACCTTGTCATATGCTGCAAAAAAAAAAAAAAAAAAATGTTGAGATAATTTTGATCCCCCACAACTCACCTGTCTCCTATTTGCGCAATGTAACAAATGCCACGCTTAGATTTTTACGCACAAACTGTTTTGACTTCCGGCGTTATTTCGGCACTTTTCCGTGGGCTTGACTCAGTTCTCTCTCACAGCTCAGTTAGCAGAAGCTGTTTGATTCTCTTCTGTTTTACTTTCAATAAGCTACTGCTTCTCTTGAGCTCCACCAGATGGGCACCTCCGCTTATACATGCGTACAAATCGTTCATTTGTCACACCGATGGGCTGTGGCACTTCAACACTGGCTGTCATACAGAGCAATTCTCTCCGGGTCAGGAACCAGAACGATAAACATAACTCTGTGGGAAGCAGAAAGAAGGGCTGATGAACGGATGATCAATCTGCTTTTTAATTATGTAAATGTTAAAGATATTCACTATAAAAGCCTTTAATCCACGATGATGAACTAGCGGCAGTTTTACGCACATGTAGTTTGTGTGCTATTTAGTATTTTATCAGGTGGCAAGACTGTGTGTGTGTGTGTGTGTGTGTGCGTGTGTGTGTGTGTGTGTGTGTGTGTGAGTGAGTGTGTTTGGCTGCCAGTGGCACTCAATTCAATGCTTAAGCAAACCTTGTGACTTAGGTCATATGACCATGCAATTCTGATACATGTACCACAATTCCTGTTATTATGTTTTCCTATTCTTATAGTCAAGAGAGACTTGTCATATGATGTAAAAAAAAAAGGTTCTGCAAGTGAAATAAAGCTAGATGGAGTTTCCCTTCAGAGCTAATCACTTTTAGTTTCATGTGATTTACATGAATCTGCTGTATACCGTCTGTAGTTCAGCTTTAAGTCGCATGTTCTGTGTCAGGCCACTGCAGGCTGATGTTTTGTGCAGTGAGGATTTCTGTTAAAAGTGTGACAAGCATTCTTGTTGTGGTGCATTCGCAATTCCACAGCCATGATCGATTTGTCTGAAGGGGGAAAGCACACCAAGTGATGCCGCGATAATATTCCCAGAGGCCATTTTTATTTGACAGCATCAGTAAACAAGCCTGGTGACCGGTGTCCCAAAGCCTTTACAGATCTTAATGTAATTCATAAATAGATAGCAGCGAACAAAAGCAAGAGCATGTTGATCATTAATGGCTGACAAAGAAAATCCCAAAATCACTTAATTAGGGAATATTGGCGTTTATATGTGTGCTCTGTGCAACCTCTTGCTTCATATTGCCAAACTAAAACTAGTATGTGGAGCCTTTGTCCAGCTTGTTAGTCAAAGAACAGGAGCTCTTTCTGCAAGACTTCTGTGGTTTGGATATATTGCTAGCATACCATAGAAACTGTGTGTGTGTGTGTGTGTGTGTGTGTGTGTGTGCTGTCTCAGGTGGCTAGACTTAGTCCAGGGCTGAGCCTCTTACAAAGCCATCATCCAAATATTAGTGTCAGTGAGAATGTGTGTATGTGTGTGTTGTTAGATTAAAGGCTTAAAGTATGATGGTATTAGTGTTGACTAACAGGCCCTGAACACCAACGAGAGAGAGAGAGAGCTTGTGTGTGTGTGTGAATGCAGACATCACAACACAAGCCTGGTATCACTTTAATTCACTGATAAATTCAAACACCCAAAAATCACCAAAGTCTGCATGAGGCACAGATCTAAATATGTACAGTATAAAAGAGAAACCAATGAAAGCAACGACAAAAAAAGGGATTACAATACGAAATGTAATGCAAATATAGGAAACATGCAGTTGAAAACACGTCACGAATAGTTTACATACACAGGCTCGGTCTCACAGAGGCGTGATTAAGCTAGAGGAGGACTTAATCTGCAGCTGTCAATCAACACGTTTTTATGAACAGAAACCCACGTTTCCTCTCGATATAAGAGTCATGATGTACAGTAGACAGAGTGAAAGTTACTGCGATACCTTTGGGAGACGAATGTCGATATATGCTGACTGTACAACCGGCTTATTTAGTTTAGCATCACGTTAAAGGAATACAAAAACAGAAGTGAATATTTCAACAATAACAGTACGTCAAGGAAACAACAAAACATTCATTTGTACTATTTGAAATTCAATATATTGTCCCTCTTTGCAGAATTTTAATTACATTTTCATTACATTGTGCCATCATGTACAAAAGTTATATAATAATTCAATAGTGAACAAAGAGATGGATATACAGGCAATAATAAATCCACTGACTGAAACCATTGCCCTGGTAGTTTTCTAAAACAAGGGCAACGTCATGTTTTAAAAATCTTACAATTAACCAAAAAAAGTTACAATATATAATTAACATTAATTACGATTGGTCCTCACTTTCTCTTTAAAGATTTCCCCAGCCTGATTTTTTTTAAGTGGGTATAAAAAACAACTTTGGATTAATGCAAACATGACAGCTTTCTGTTGGTGGAGAGAAAAGAAAGAGAAAAGCATCCTCACAGCCAGGGAAAATGTGTTTTAAAATGTAAAAGCTGTGGGGCGCACTGAACAAACAAGGTACTTCTGACGCTCCAGAGAACACAAGGCAACAATAACCGCTTCTAGCAAACAATCATATTCAATGTTTTCACTGGTCTCTAATGTAAAACGGCTTCCTCTGAAAAAAAGGAAGCAGGAAGCTGGGTTTTTAAAACGCTGCTCACAGTGAAGGTGACGAGGAGGGAAATGGGGCGACTAATCTAAGTCATTTATATAAGTGCTCAGGTTGTTGGCTCTTCGTTTGAAAATATCTGAAACGTGTTACAGATCATATTATAGTAAATGATGTATTTGTGCGGTGCCCATGCTTGGTAAACAGTATATTTGATCACCGAGATAGAATGCATCTTATATTTTCAGGTGAGTGAACGACGTGTAGCCAGGGCACGACGCTTGAAACGGTAGCCAATCTCACGGCAACACACCACGCGCAGCAAGTATATGCATATCTCCATGACATTGTTGCTAAAATCAGTCGGTCTATTGCATCTCTGTGGCTGCAGCGACTTTGTTTTCATAAGTCGGCTGAATGGCGAAGAATGTTTGGAGAGGGAATTCCTGTCCTGCCCTGTGTTCATTCAATGGTACGGTCACGCTCCTCAATAAGTGCAGTCACAAGACTCCCATCACTGCACTGCTATGCCTGTGTGTGTGTGTGTGTGTGTGTGTGTGTGTGTGTGTGTGTCCATTTGAGCATGTATGCATTTTCCTGGAAACTATGTGAAACAAAATACATCAAAACGAATGAATTATGAGTGAACCGAATAGTAGAATTGAGTGGATTTCCTCATGCCAGTTCTCACGGTGTGGGATCGTACGGTTTGTGAACACTTTAATAAAATCCCCTTCTTTCAGTGAGTTTGTGTTTTGTGCATGCATGTGTGTACATGTTACCAGATGAACGGGCTTCAATTATCAGCCAACAGGACAACCGGGCATCCTGAAGGCATCTGGGACAGGACTGTCGAGTTTACAGATAATCTTATATATCCCTTTCTTCCAGCAGGGGTCGCTGTCTCTCCCAGTCCAAATGGCGGAGTGAAACTCCCTCAGAGCCACGTCTGATACCTCGATGAACCTCTCTGGCACCTGCAGACAGAAATGTGAACGTCAAGGGATACAATACTTGAGAATATGCCATGATATTTCCCTGATTCTCCTGTTGGATACACCCCTATCATTTAATATCAGTGCATTGAGTTTGTAATAATAGTATTTTTTTGACATCTCATTCTGTTGCACGAAGAGCACAGATGTAAAGAATAACATTTATGATGACTCTACTCCGTGAAGTCACAGTTAGATATGTCTGTGCACAGTACCTGGGCCCTGGTACTGTTGATGGAGCGAGGGCATAATTAAGGTTATTGATTACACCTGTGCTCGTCAAAACGTCTGCAGCAGTAGCTCCCAGTTTCAACCCGAGCAGGAGACTCATCAGCCAGTCAACTCAAAACACCTGTGTAGTGAAGTGAGCGGGAGGGTCTCTAACAGCTGCACTTGTTGAGATTCATAATGAGCTGAGTGAATTCTCTTTCACTACTGAGGGGGTTTAGGGCCTAGCCTCGAATTTGTGAAAGATATCAAGATTTAGCACTTTTAATGAGCTTTTTTCTTTCTTAACAGCGTTTAATTTGTTATCATAGAGAGCTGAATAATTGTCCGCATCTTTCTTTCCAAGCATAGTATCACGTCCTGTATGGCGATAGCTGACATCAATCATCAGCCAATGACAGGTGATCCTAAAGACTGAAAAACATGGCCGGTTAGCTCAGTTGGTTAGAGCGTGGTGCTAATAACGCCAAGGTCGCGGGTTCGATACCCGTACTGGCCAAAGATTTTAAATAAGAAATGTGAGGCGATTGGGAAAGGCATTCAAACTATGTCATAAATATATGACGTCTTATCGTTGGCCATCTAACTCTGTATAACATAACTATCCTCATATGTTGTTGTAAACCCTTAATATTACATTAAAAGTACTGAGTGATCCTATCCATGAAGTAATTTCATCACAATGGACCTTGCTCTACCTCCAGTTTAGAGCTCAGTTTGTGAGTTCAAGTTAAAATACTGCCTTCACTTTGATCTATTTCTTATTGAGAGTATCAGTACTGGTTATGGAGGGATTGTCTTTACAAGCAAATATAAATATACAGACTTCTGTAGGTTGCATACACTTGAAAAACAGTTTCCAAATTGTAAAATTTCCTCAATGTTATGTTACTTTATACTTTCACTTCACTACATTTCAGAGGGAAATACTTTTTTTTGAGAGTATTTTTACTTCACTTCTTTCACTGTAACCAACCACTTTTGACATTAACTGAGGTTAAGAGAAAATCCACAAATGATACATTTTTCTAACCATTGTGGAAATGTTATTGATGATATTATAATTATTTCATCATTATTAATATTATTGCATTCCTATTCATTCCTGTGCCATAACCATTCCCCACTGTAATCGCCATTTTACATCGAAGCATGGCATCTATTCCTCTGTAACAATATCTGTCATCCATCAGCAATCATCAGCCAATCACATGCGATCCTAGACACTGAAAAATATGGCCGGTTAGCTCAGTTGGTTAGAGCGTGGTGCTAATAACGCCAAGGTCGCGGGTTCGATACCCGTACTGGCCAATGATTTTAAATAAGAAATGTGAGGCAAAGATTGGCAAAAACAATCAAACTTTGGTGTAAATATGACTTCTTATCGACGGTGATCTAATTGTGACTGAGTCAGTGTAACCATCTCGATATGACTACTTTATCCATAATTGCCCAGAAATCAGTCGCGTGGTAGCGGTGTATTCACCATGTCACAAACATCCCCCACAAAATGCATCCATACTATATGAAACATCTGAGGAGACTCACAAATACCATCAGTGAGAACAAAAATAACAAGGAAATGCCATTCCTGCCCTTCCATTTGCACATAGTGTACATCCTAACATGAACAGGTGCATGCAACAGCAACTCCATTCATCACACATGCATGTACACAGATTAGAGTTACCGGTAGTCATAAAGACATAAATATTTAAAAACAGATTCAAACAAAGCTCTTATACTGTGATTATTTAAGACTAATGACAACTAGGAGAATGATTAAAACACAGTAGTTAGTTAAAAACATATAAAAGTGCAATATTTTCCATCTTGTTGGTATTACAATCTTTAGCAAGGCATTCCCTGACATCAATATGTCACACAGCTCTTATCCGACAGACAGAGCACACGTCCTCCTGCATCGGACAAACCAAGGCCATGTCATTATAGACAGCAGTTACGGTTTGAGATGTGCATCTGATTTGTATATTACTTTATACATTATGCAACAGGGATGACTTAACATAAGTGTAACCTTGGGGTGCTCCTATGTTTACAAAAACTACTCTAACGTATTGCAGTTAAAGAAAACGTGGAGGCAATCAGACTCCTTAATCTATAAAAGAAAAACTCCACAGACAGCACTATAAGGTATCAAAGCATCCACCCGAGGACTGTAGACAAGCTGCATATTGACACACTCTCCTCACCTGGTAGACGTTACTTTTATTGTAGTGCATGTTCAGTATGCGGTAAAGCTCCGTGTCGCGGCCCACTCGCAGCTGACTCTCTCGGCCCAGACGAGATGCACCGTCCCTGGATCACACAGACGGGACCAACAGACTCATTTACATACAAACTCATGGTGTAAACTCGTGTTTATGATGCATAATTCAGTGTCAGCTCATGTCAAAAAAAATCCAGCGGCCACATGCTAGCTCCTATTAAAAACCCCAGTCAAACAAAAGTTTTGCGGCACAATGAGTTTAAGGTGAAGCGGTGCCAACTCAAACCAACCGGGTGAGAGCCTCGCGGACAGCTTGACGTGCAAAGCGCTCCATCTGGATGTAGAAGAACTCTCTGAAGTTACTGAACCATTTAATCATCTGGGAGGTCACACAGCGGTTGAACTAGACGGTGGACAGGAAACACAGCAGGACAGGATGTGAGCAAAGTGTGCACAGCAGGCGAGGGGTGCTTATTGAAAAAAAAATAATTTAACACTAATAATTCATATTATGAATGAGAGTTCAAAGACAGCTTTAGTCAGTGGCTCAAAGAAAGAGAGGGATTGTTATGGTGCTTCATAAAGGAATGTGTTCATACTCAGAAATGACTATCTAATATATGAGAGCAACATTTAACATTGTCTTTTCACCACAATGTTTACCAATTATTGGCTTATTACAGAAATATTGATATCAACAGACATTCAAACAGAACTACAGTAAATATTGTTTTCAAAAGGCAAAGGGCATTTTTTGCTAAATTGTATGTACTGTTGTTGTCATTTGTCTTTTATTATTCACACTGAGTACATTTACAGTAAAGTTCTGTTCAAAATTGTGGAAATTGCTGTTATTTTTAACAGTAAAGGTTACTGTTACAATGTAAAATATCCTCCCTCTGTGTATTTTTGTCTTCAATGACCAAACTGAAGTGATCCTTGCCATGAAATAATCTTACTTCTATGTTGATGTCACTAATGTTAAAACATGAACATCGCCTGATGTGTCATCATCAAAAGTTGGGCCATGACAGAAGCCTGGCTCCAGCACCGTGATGGGGAACACACACCTTGACATCAGGGAAGTAGGTCTTGAGCGTGTTGGAGCTGGGATAGCGTGCGTAGAAGAACATGAGCTTGGCTTTCTTCAGATGGCAGGGAGACAAGCCCTCCTGGGTGTATACATGAGGCCAGTTAAGGAGATACAAATGTCCTTTTACACACACACACTCATGAACAAACACATATCCCTCCCTCATTCCTCCCCCCTTTGCTGACAAAAGGATATTCCCCCAGCAGTCAGGTAGAGCTCTCCTCCGTCCATCCCTCCTCCTCCTCTCATCCCCCCGTCTCCCCTCATCCCTCTCTCTCGGCCTCCGTGAGTGTGGCGCGCGAGGGAGGGGTCGAGGTGTCCGAGCAGGGGGAGCGGCGGGAAAGACGGGTGAGACGAGGGGTGAGACGAGAACTCCAGGAAGGGGTCGGAGTTCAAATAGTCCTTGCGGGATGGGGGGAGGTGGGCCAGCTGAGGGTGGTGAAGGGAGCGGGAGAAGAGCTGCTGCATGGAGTAGTGGAGCAGGGGGAGAGTGAGCGGGGGAGGAGGCGGAGGGGGAGGAGGGGGGGGCACGGGGAAGGAAGAGGAGGACGAGGAGGAGGAGGAGGAGGACAGGTGGAAGGAGGAGGAGGAGAGGTCCTTGGGTTGGGAAGCGGGAGGCAGGAGTGAGGGGTGAGACAGAGGGGGAGGGCGAGGTAGAGAAGGGTGATGAAGGGAGAGGTTCGGGTGAGAGGGGTTGAGGTGAGCGGAGAGAGGCGGGCCGAGGAGTGGGTGGGCTTTTCGTATGTCAGGTGACCTTTGGACAACCAATGACATTGCCAGATCTGTCGGCTCAGCGAGATGAGGCGGTCCCGGAGGCGGGGCGCTCCCGTTGCTCCTTTTCTGGACCTGCTTCTCTCTTTCGCCGTCCTGCCTCCCCGTCTTTTCCTCCTCACCTCTCCCTTTGTCCTCCCCTCTTCCTCTCGTCAACAGCCCCATCCACACTCCCCTCTCCCTCCCGCTGTCGTTCCCCGCGTCGGACGGGAGGAAGGAGATGGCGGCGGGGGGAGAGGAGGGAGCGGCGTCCGTCGTCTCGGTGTAAAGGCGGAGAACTCGGTCTATGACTCGAGCCACGGCGCTGCCCAGCTCTACCTTCAGCGCCTGAGCGAACTTCTGCCCTCCCTCCTCGCCCTCATCTTCCATCCCTCCGTGCCAATCGCCCCTCACCAGCCCGCCACAGTCCAACCACAACCCCGCTCCCTCCATCACACCCTCCAAGTGCAACCCTCCTCCTCTTCCTTGCTCTATCCTCCCCTCTCTGTCTTTTTGCCTCTCCTCCCTCTGTTTGTGGAAGTTGTCAAAAGGGGAAACGGAAAGAAGGGAGAAAGTTTCCTTTTCCATCTCTCCGCCATCGATGTCCTCCTCATCATACATCCCTTCTGTGATGTCCTCCTCCTCCGTCATCCCAGCATCTCCTCCTCCTCCATCTCCTCCTCCTCCTCTGTTTCTGCACCTCATCTCCTTCTCCTCCTCTGCCAAGTGCTTTTCCCCAAAGGCCCTCCACACCTTCTCCTGCAGGGCCTGCAGTCTCTCTCTCGCCTCCTCCAGCTGTTCTTTCAGCTCCTCCCTCTCTCTCCTCTTCCCCTCCCTCCCTCCCTCGCGCCTCCTGCCTCCCACCTCAGCCTCTCCGTCTCTCGGTCGGCTCTCCAGCTTCATCCGCTTCACTTTCAGGACGTCCTGACTCCACTCGGCCACGAGGGCGGCGGCGCTGTGCCTCTTCTTAACCCCCAGCAAGCCGTCCTCCCCCTCCATCACTCCGTCCTCTCCTCCGTCCATCCCTTGCTCCACCTGTCCATCCCTCTCTCCCCTGTCTTCCTCCAAATCTCTGTCTTCTAGGTGTCTGTGCGTGCTCGCGTTTGCGTTGAGTTGCCCTCCAATCCTCCTGGGAGCTCCGCTTGGCTGGAGGAGGTGGTGGATGAGGGGGAATCCGGGGGGTCTAAAGGCTGGAGGAGGGCGCCCGGCACTGGGTGGAGGGTGAACTCCAGGGAGATCTGTGGAGCTGTGGGTGGGAGCAAATGCGTGCATCTGGGGAGCGGAGTCATCGAAAAGATCTGTGGGGGAATCCATCACTGGGGAGACAGAGGAAGAGAGAGGCAGACAAAATTACTGCTTTTGTTGATGTGCAGAAGAAGGGGGTGGACCAGAGAGAACACATGAATACGGTAATTCAGTCGGGTTCCTTTGGGTTCATATTAGAAGAACAAAACAAAGCTTTGTGAAGGTGTCACTTTTTTCACTATTTTAGATTTTTTTACAAACCAAACAATCCATCTTTTAATCCAAAATGAATCATCATTAAAAAAAAAATCACCATTAATCTAGAATAAAAATAATCATTATCTACAGTAAAATCCTTCCTCTGTATTAATGCATGAGCAATAATAACCTAATGATATAATATAATTTAATATTTTAAGTGCCGTTTCCATATTACACTTAAATACTTTACATTTCAATACAGGATTTTTTATTTGTATGTTATAGTATTCTTACTTTTACTTCAGTATAAGAATCTGAATACTTTTTCCACCACTTTTGTAATTTCAGTGAAAGGACCATTGAACTAGCTTTTAACACCTAAGTGCACTGAAAGGCTTATGTTATCTATATCACTTAGAAATAATGCCGAGTCGTGTTTCTGTTTGGCACTTGTGACGACGCCATGTTTTTGTTTTTTTATTATTGTGTAGAAATTGTGTCGACTGAGGAGTATAAAAGTGAGAGGCGGAGGTCCAGCAAAAACAATGTATATGGATGTCCTTACATGGAGCTGCAAAATATAAACATTGGGACAGTTTTGAGTACGTTTAGCTACAAGCACATGGAAGATGAATTTCCAAACGGTCCAAATAGTTCTTCAAAGGGTTGCTATTCCCCTCCATGGCTTCCTAACATGTCATAGCAGGAAACAGTACACTGCGGAACTGACCATGGAAGTCGACAGACTGTGGGCCGGGGCTATATGCGCTGGTGCTGCAGTGGGTTAACATCTGGCTCACCATCTCTGTAACGCATTGCTTGTCGTCAAACTATTTTTCCTGTTTCTCTCAAATGTGTGCTGTAGCACAAACGTCATAAAAGCACAAAATGGAGGGGCGTGATGGTGTCGGACAAGGACCTTGGTGAGGAGCACAATAACAAAACAGGAAAATCTATTTTTTCAAAAAGCTGCAAATAATGACCTGAGTAGGTACTTCTGCATGGCCCTCCTACAACACCTGGAAACTCTTGTAGAACAGAATAGAGAACGCTGGGTTTGTGAATAATAGTACATCTCACTATTTAATCCAGATCAAAAACACACATCTACATTCCTTCTTTTTTTTTTTCCAGTACGTAACCTCCTCTCCGTCCCGAAGCCCCTTTCCCCCTTTTTCCTTCCTCTCTATTCCTCTCTCGTCCTCTCTTCCTCTCCCTCTCTGTTATCAGTGCAGGCAGCTTGTTAAGTACTGTTTGATCAGAGTGTTTACCGTCAAACACTCTCACACACACACACACACACACACACACACACATACACAACACATTACACAGTCACACAAAAGAGAAAGAGGCTTGAGAGAGGGCTGACAATGGTCAATGGTCCTTGGGGAGTGAAATAGAGTGAGAGTAGCATGTATATATGTATCTGTGTGTATCTATGCGTGTGTCTGTGTGTGAGTGGGTGTGTGTGTGTGTGTGTGTGCGTGCACGTGCCAGAATGTGTGTGTGTGTGTGAACAGCAGTCCTACTTTGCATTGATAACACCGCTAATCCACTTCAGATGGATACACTACCGCTCACTGAACAGAAAGATGGATGGATGATAAATGGACAGATGTAAGGACGGCCAAAAGGAGGTAGAGGAGGCAGACAAAATGTGAACACAGACCGTATTTAGCATTTTAGGCTTTACTTGATTGTCAATGGTTAGAATTAAAGCTGATTACACCACAAATAGATGGATAGATAGATAGATAGATAGATAGATAGATAGATAGATAGATAGATAGATAGACGGAGGGATAGATGGATAGATGGATAGATGGATAGTTGACCAGTGCATAGGTCCCTCGGTACAACATGAAGGGAATAATCCTACTATAAATAGCTAAATATCAATTATTCAAATGCGCTGTCCTCTCTACTACAATACAGCCCAGATGGCAAAGCAGCCAATGCGCTTATATCAGGGACAGATTAGCTTTTCAAAGCCAGCGGAAAGCTGCATAAAATATGAACACTGAGCAATGAAAATGAAAGCTATTAACCACTAGATTAGACTTAAGAATGGTACTGTTGGACTGCTGTAGCTGTCACTGGGAAAACTGACAAGAGAGGGAACTCACACACACACACACACACACACCCCATTACTGTAAATAATGTTGTAAATTCTTATCTGGGTGTATATGTTGATATGTTAACACATAGGCTATTATCATATAGTCCAACAGGTTATCCCTCTAATTCTGAAATACTAGGCTAGACGGCCTACTGCATTCAAGCAGTTGACATTTATTCAAAATTATAATTTTGTGATGAAACTATTGCTTTATATAGCCTACCGTCAATAATAGGGTCTGTGTGTTTTAACAAAAACTAAAATGTCTAAAATGTACAGTTTTAAAATAAATTAAATTAGGAGCTCTAACATTATTTGTGTCGGTTGTTTTTGTTTTTATTTGACCTAGCTTACACAGGTTATATGACTTTGTTCTAAAAAAAAATATATGTCAAATATGTTGCCAAGCCTTTATAATGTTTCATCTATCTATTCATCTATTCATCTATCTATCTATCTATCTATCTATCTATCTATCTATCTATCTATCTATCTATTCATCAATTCACCAATTATCTACGCTGTTCAAATAACGTTACTTTGAATAATTTATATAATGTTTGAAGCCACCGCGTGGCAACATCTGCCGGTTCTGCCACGCGAGAGGAATCCGCTTTGACCATTTGGACGCACGAGCTGTCAGTTTATCCGTGTGTATGTGTGCGCGCGCCCGCGTCGCGTCCTGTGACTAATTGGCAGCGATGGACTAATGTCGCAGTGTGAAAGGAAAAAAACAATAAAACACACACAGAGCGAGACCAGTAGAGCAGACCCTCGTAGCTTATTCAACGTGTAACATGTCAAACAATATGTTGTGTTTGAAGTTTAAAAATGAACTTACTCTCAGTCACAGAGAAGAGCTCCAGCGGTGTCCGTTCCCCCCTCGACGCGTTCCGCTCCAGTGGCCGTTCCTAAGCGCTCTGCCTCGGTCGACTCTCTTCAGCTGGCACCCGGCGGGCCTCGGACATCGGTGCGGGCAGAAAAAGAACCAGCGAGTGTCCGGCTTTTTCCTGTTCCCCTCCGCTCTATTATTTGTCCTTTGTTCCGCAACTCTCGCAGTTTTACTCTCACGCACCAACCAGCCTCCTCTTTACTCTATAGTTGTGTCACTGTGCAGGTTTTTTTTCTCTCCCCCTCCCTCGCCAATCCATCTATATCTCTGGCTGGCATCATCCTCACGCGCTGCTCCCGGTGTGGAGTAGCGCGCGGTGGGCGGGCGGCCGGGCTCGAGAGCTGGCCACTTGACGGTCCGGTCCCTCCCATGTTGGCATGACCCCCCCCCCCCGAGAACGTGCACGCACACGCACACACACACACACACACACACACACACACACAGACATACACGCGAGAGAGAGGCTGGTTTAAATGATCAGAAGTAATGCTAACTGATTTCAAATTAATGTCATTAGCTTTTTTTTTGATAATTCATGATAGCAACAGTTTGTTGCAGATGGCTTCTTAGCACACAGGCACAGATTGGAAGTCTACCTTGACCAAGAAGACTGAAGAGCATTTTCTAAAGGCCTGTAATGCTGAAACCACATCACAAAAGTGGAGTCACAGATTGTTTTTGTTTTTTTGCAGCATATTCTCAGCTACACAAGGTTACAGTGAAAGTCATTCATTAACAGTTTTATCTCATCACAGGAATTTTCTTTGAACGCCACACAGAACGGACATCATCACACAGTTTGTAACCATATGAGCTTTATTCAATTTAACAGGTTCAAATTACAGGTTAAATATATTAGAATGAACCTATATACTGTAGACCAAATCTGATTGCAAAATAACCTCTATGTAAACAAAAATACTTAATTTAAGTCAAAAAATTCACCAAAAAAAGTGATGGAAAATTAACATTTGGTGAATTTAAAAGTGCAAGTATTATATTGTATGTGATCTGCCATCAAATTTACTTTTGATGTCATATTGTTGAAATTCAACCATGTGTTGGACTCTTGATGACTGACAGTAAACAGCAGTCTGTGGCAGTACATTGTGAGAGTAAATGGACCATGTTAATCACAGCCTTTCAGGTGCACCACACATTTCTTTTTTTCAATTGAAGTCTCATCTGAACTATCCGCAATGTTTTACCTCAGCCTTGTTGCTTTCATTGCACGGAGATATTTAGTTTCCAGAAAAACATGAATGTATGCCTGACCTTGGGCAGCAATCTGTTACCTGTTGCTGGGAATGTTGCCCAACCTGAGCCTCCAAACGGAGACCATGGACCAGTTTATAGTTCAGCGATACCTCGTATTATCTCTTTTTGAGAATGCTTTATTCTTTCATCTGTCCAATATTCACTCCCTCTCTTACTCTGTCTGTCTCATCTCGTTTCTGTCTGTTTTCTACTTCTGATTAAAAATGGTTAGGCACTGACTGAAAGGTCGCAGTTGTTATGGAAACGAGGCTGGTAACAAAAGCTGGACACACGGGTACAGAGGGAGGAGGGGGGGGGGGGGGAAAAAGGGAAAAAGAGGGAGATGTGTCTGAATAAACACTCAGAGAAGAGGAGAGGGTATGGAAAGAGAGAAAGTGAGTCTGAATAAATAAAAACATCTGCAGGGGGAGAAGGGCGAGAGACGGCGAGGTCACGGAATGATGGCTCCACCTGCAATAATAAATAACAAAAGATAATACCAGGTTTTTGTCATTCTGGGAAGCAGAAGTGTGTGTGTGTGTGTGTGTGTGTGTGTGTATGTGTGCATTGGACAGAGTGGCGGACTGGGAGAATGCAATCGATGGATAATACATGGATCTGCTGCACAGGCTAGAGAATACTAAAAAGCACAAATTGTTCACAGAAAAGCCTCCCAAAAAGCCTGAAATTGTGCGTGAGTGTGTGTGTGTGTGTGTGTGTGTGTGTGTGTGTGTGTGTGTGTGTGAGAGTGCGGTAACGTCATCTCTCTGAGGGCTCGTATTATGTTAACCACTTAGACCAACATCAAACACTCTCTAAATCACACACACACACACACACACACACACACACACACACACACTTCAGTGCAAGAGTGAAGGTGCCAGCCATATAAATAGGACGTCCCAGAGCGAGAGATATAAAGAGAAAGGGACTGACAGAGAGAGAGAGAGAGATTATAAATTCAAAGGGGTGAGAAAAAGGATGGGGGAAGAGTAGAGTGAAAAACTGAGAGAAATAGAGAGGGCAAGAACAGGAGGGGGTGAGGACGGATAGATATGAAAGGATCAATAGATGGCATAAAGTGTATGTTCATTGATTTACGTACAGGGAGAGAGCAGTGGGGTGAGAGGGAGGGGGAAAGAGAGGATAGAAAAAGCGGGGAGCAGAGAGAGGAGGGAATAGGGGGGAGGAAGGGAGAGAGAGAGGGTTGGGTGGGGGGGGGGGAGAGTAAGCCATAATAAAGAGGAAGCAATAAACAAGTCAGAGCAATACCATAAAGCAAGGGACTATGTGAGAGATAGCGGCCTAATTAAAGCTGCTTCGATCAATATATTTATATCACCACTGAGTCAAATGACTATGTGTAACGTGAAAGGGGTCGCTCATTGTGACAAACCCACACAGATTCTGTGGTTCCCCTCAGCTCATAATCGTATAATCCACGACAGAAGACGTTTCCCTTGAAACGCAATTCACAGCACCAATAAGGCAACTTTAAACAAACAGCACTACTTATTTAAAGTATTTCTAAGTATTTCAATGTTTCTGTGGCCCACCCTCTATTACTAAATCTACATTTGATGTACATTTAAATTTTCAACCGTAAATATATGGTAATCTTCTTTGTATGCTTTGGGACCCAACCTGAATTACATCATCATTTGATCATGTTTGAGCAAAATCGAAGCAGCCAGAGGCTGAGATATCCTCACTTTTAGTCCCTAGTGTGGGACATGCTCCAAAAAACTTTGGATCCTACATTTCCCACAATGCAATTCGACAGACACTTCTTGCCGACTAAAGGCCTTCTTGTTTGAAAAATCCCACGCAAAGTTTGCAATGCAGGTTTTCTGTATAAAGTTTTGTCTCAAGTCCTATAGTCAAAATATCCCTGATGACATCACTACGACGTCATTATTTTTTCAGACTTTGGTCTTTAATGATTAAACTGTAGGTGTTGATTTACTTCATTCAGTTATATTAGGATGAATTTTATGATACTGTTCACCTAACAATAAGGCCCTGATATAAAGTGAACTAAACACCGAGAGACACACGACATATGTCAAGACTGACAGTAACAGAAAGAGACAGACAGGTTGGAGCAGAGCACGGGGGTGAGACAGGCAGAAAGAACGGGTGTGTTTGTGTGTGTGTATGCGAGGGAGATGAGAGTGCGAGAGAGAGACAGAAGTGTACTCAAATAGCTCAGGGCAAGGTGACACAGAGAAACGAACGGACAGAGAGGGATAACAAGCTCATAGAGGGGGGGGATTGTGCGTGTGTGTGTGTGTGTGTGTGTGTGTCTGTGTGTTAGAGAATGAGAGAAAAAGGAAGAGACAGAGGGGGCGGAAGGGAAGAGGGATAGAGGAAGTTGAGAGAACAAAAACAAAAGCGGGGAGAGAGTGAGAGAGTGTGAGAGAGTGTGAGAGTGTATGTGTGTGTGTGTGTGYGTGTGTGTGTGTGCGTGTGTGTGGACAGCCGAAGGTGTCAGAGTGTGCTGTTTGGCTTAATGATGACCCACTGGGCATGTAGGTCATAACGGTTTGGGTCTCAAAGCCATGACTGTGTGCATCCATTAGTGTGTGAGTGTGTGTACGTGTCTCTCTGTGTGTGTGTGTGTGTGTGTGTGTGTGTGTGTGTGTGTGTGTGTGTATGTGAAAATAGAAACTCACTCGACACACGCATGTAAAGTGGGTCTCTTAGCATGCGTTTTAAGAGTGTGTTTGGTCAGAGGTTGGAGAAGCAGTTTTTCTAGCCGGTAGGA